CTGTACCTGCAAATGGGAAGTTGCTGGGCAGCCCACGGATGTCCTTTGCCCGGGTTCTTCCTCTTTGTCGCTTTTACTTTTCCACTGAAAAATCTATGAGGGGAATCCGGCTGACCAAGACAGGAGGTCAGGGTGGTGCTTGGGCGGTGGCTGGGCCACAAAGGTTAATGAACCTGCTGCGGCCCTTTGCCAGCAGGTGGGGGTGTTGTTAACTCAGGCAGCGGGGGGGCGTGCTTTCCGAACCAGCAGTCCCAGGTTCAATCCCCGCTGCTGAGAACTCCCCAGTGCAGCTGGGTTTAGAAGCGACGTGGTTGGTTGGGGCAAGGTCCTTATCCCCTTCCATCCCTCGCTGGCCCGGTCTGCGATGCTTGTCACTGTACTGGGCCTGCATCCGCTTGGGGAATCCCTAGCCCTGACCGACTCCATTGCAGCACGGCCAGGAGGAGAAACAGGCTCTTCTTTGTGTACCTCAGAGCAGGCTCTGAAACTGTGCTGCCTCTGTACAAACCAGGACCAGCTTCTGCCCGCCATCAGCCTTGCTGATCAGCGGCACCTTGTGGGGTCTGGTTCTGTGCAGTACCAGCTGCCCCAAGCACCGAGCTAAACACGGATGGTGCCACACTCACCGGTGGTTTGCAAGCGGCCTGGCAGTGAGGGATCCATCGGTGGCCCTTTGGAGAGGAGCGGTTAGGGTGCTAGCCTGCTATTTGGGAAACCCAAGTTTAATTCCTCACTCTGCCACAGGTTTCCTGTGTGACCATGGGCATGTCATCGGTAAAATGTCAAACCTCACTGGGTGCTGGGAGGAGAAACACATGAGATACTAGGGGGCTGTGGCGGGTATCCAGGGGATTTTGGCAGTAGGGAGCCTTGCACCTCTAGGTCATGGGTTCAGATCCTGCCCAGGGCAATAATGATCAAAAATCATTCATCTGACTACTGGTTTGCATGAAAATGAGTTTAATGGTCACAGGCCAGTTCCTCGTGGGACAGGTGTTCACAGCTGGCAGGCCAGGATCAAGGAGGCCATGGAGCGAAAGTGGTCAGGGCTGAGGGGTACTTGGCTGCATTCAGGCCTGGTACAGAGTAAACACCAGGCTCTCCTGGAAACAAGTTAGTGAGTTGCACCACGGCGCTGCCCTGCTCTTGATGTGCCGATGTGAACTAGAGCTACACGCCCGTGCCAAGGGAGGAAGCAGCCCCACTGGTCCAAGGACATCTGCCCAGGCAAACTAGGAATCCAGCTCCAGCATCCCACGCTGTAGTGGTGGGCGCTGTGCCCGGAGCGGACTGGCCCAACGGTCTCCAGCTGGACCCGCCCTGTAGTTAGCAGCGTCGGCGTTAGATTTTCATCCCTGCATGAGAGTCTGAGCAAAGGGTGAGCTCTAGCCCTGAGCCCTCCATGGGGAGAGGTGGGGCATTGAGCCTACTGATGGAATGGCATGGGGTCCCCTACACACTGTCCTCTAACTCCCACCGCTGCCTCCCTGCGCAGGTGGGGGAACAGCCCCGTTCCTGACATGAGAGAGGCGTTCACAGCCTCGAGTTTCCAAGGCTCATGCATCCACTGGGCCGGGGCCGGACCTTCTGAGACCGATGTGGTTGATCTCAGCACCGTCCTGAAGGGCTGCTCGGCTCCGACAGCTTTGGGGAAATACAATTGGCAGCTTGGCCTCGTTTAGACGGTGAGCTGTACGCACGCTGTTCCCTGCCTCGGCTCCCATCTGTCTGAGCCTGGCAGCTGCCGCTCCCCAGCCCTTCATCCTCGCTACAGCGAACGGAACTTAAAATGGCTTTTTCAAGCTGGTCTGTTTCTAATAGGCTTAGGCTGGGACCCACGTAGGGAAGGCCGATTTCCCTGGCGGCGTGGGGGAGAGAAAGATAAAGCAGGCTCCCACAATGCACTGCTCCGTCATCAGCTGTCCTGGCAGGCAGATGACCAATCAAGCCAGCGTCTCCCGCATCTGACCCGCCTTCCTTGCCGTGGGGAGGAGAAGGGGTTTTTGCAACTGATCTATGTACTCCTGGCAGGAGCTTAGCTGCAGACGCTGAACTCGCTGATGTCTTCGATGCTGCATGTGGGGAAGACTTTGCAAAAACTGGCCGCTGGCGAGTGCGCGCCTCTGAGGCCAATACAATCTGTTGGAGCTTGCACTGTGGGTTTGGGTGCATGCACTGGCTGGGAGGAACAGGCTATCCTCCAAATGCAGGGTATCTTAAAAATGGCCTGTTGGGGGTGCTCTGCAGAAGATCTGGATCCTGAGAAAATGCGTAGGAGCTCAAAGACCTAGAACATCCCTGGGGGAAAAGCCCTCTTGCTTCCAGGCACACCCCACCTCTTAACTGCCAGAGGGTGGGAAAAACGTCCTCATGGGCATATTCTTCCCAAACTGTCCACTAGGGAGGTTCTTGCAACTTTGCATTGTCAGAGATGGGGGTACGGGCTAGATGCACAGACTATGGGTAGGTCTATGCAGCAAGGAAAAACCCACAGCTGGCCCGTGCCAGATGACTCCGGCTCGCTGGGCTGTTTCGTTGCTGTGTAGACTTCCGGGCTGGATCCCTTGCCGAATACACGGCGTTTCAACCCAGTGAGCTTTACGATGCGCTCTTGAGGTCCAGCCACAGAACAATGTCCAGTTTGTTTGTTTGACAAGACCTGTGGCCCAGTTTTGTGAGAGTCTCCTGGTTTTCAGGACTATCCTGGGCTCTGGCTAAGGCTGGCCAAGATCCTGGGTTTAGCTCGGCCGCCAGCACGCCTGGCCACCTGCTGCACTGAGAATCCTAGAAAAGCAGGGCTGGAAGAGGGGACCTTGAGAAATCATCAAATCCAGCCCCCTGCACTGAGGCAGGACCGAGTAAACCTAGACCAGTCCTGACAGGGGTTTGTCCAACTTGTCCTTAAAAACCTCCTGTGCCGGGGATTCCACAACCTCCCTTGGACACCTAGTCCAGAGTTTAGCTACCCTGAGAGTTGGAAAGTTTTTCCCTAATATCTACCCTAGATCTCCCTGGCTGCAGTTTAAGCCCATTGCTTCTTGTTCTGCCTTCAGTGGACATGGAGAACAACGGATCAACAGCCTCTTTTGTAACAGCCCTTAACATGTTTGAAGACTGTTATCATGTCCCCCCTTCAGTCTTCTTTTCTCAAGACTAAACATCTGAGTTTTTTAACCTTTCCACAGAGGTCAGGTTTTCTAAACATTTTATCGTTTTTGTTGCTCTCCTTTGGACTCTCCGATTTGCCCACCTCTTTTCTAAAGTGGGGCACTCGGAACTGGACACCGTCCTCCCGCTGAGGCCCTACCAGTGCCGAGTAGGGTGGGACAGTTACCTCCTGTGTCTTACATACAACACTCCTGTTAATACACCCCAGAATATTGGCCTTCTTCAAACCCGCATCACATAGTTTGACTCCTATTAAATTTGTGATCCACTGTAACCCCCAGATCCTTTTCAGCGGTACGACCACCTAGCCAGCTATTCCCTACTTTGTAGTTGTGCGTTTGATTTCCCCCCCGGCACTTCCTACATAGAGTACTTTGCACTTGTCTTTATTGAATTTCATCTTGTTGAATTCAGACCCATGCTCCAATTTGTCACGGTCGTTTTGAATTCTAATCCTGCCCCCCAAAGTGCTGGCGACCCCTCCCAGCTTGTGACCTCTTCAGATTTAATAAGCATCCTCTCCGCTCCGTGATCCAAGTCACTAATGAAAATATTGACCGGTACCAGACTCAGGTCTGACCCCTGTGGGATCCCACTACAAACGCCCTCCCAGTTGGGCACTGATCACTACTCCTTGAGTGCGGTCTTTCAACCACCCGTTTGATAGTAATTCCTAGTGGGCTTATGAGAGCCTCATGTGGGACGGCCTTACTAAAATGAAGAGATTCCCCCATCTGCAGCTTCCCCTCTATCCGCTGCGCCAGGAACGCTGTCAAAGAAGGCCATTCGGTTGGTTTGACGTGATTTATTCCTGACTGGTGCTGCCAGCCCACACCCTGACCTGAGGGAGCAGTATAGGGTCACCAGATGTCCCGATTTTATAGGGCCAGTCCCAATTTTTGGGTCTTTTTCTTATATAGGCTCCTATTACCCCTCCCCCCCCCATCCCGATTTTTCACATTTGCTCATGCCCAGAGCCTGACCCAGCTTTGTTGGGGCAGGTCCTTCACCAGGCCCTGCAGGAGCAGCAGTTTCCCCCCCCCCCCGCCACTAGCCATCCCCTCCAGCAGCTCCCCCTTCTTTTCCTTCCCCAGCACTGCTCTCTCCTGTCCACCCCAAGGGCCTTCTGCCCAGCCGCTGCCCCTCTCCAGCCCCGTTCCAGACACGCTGGCCTCTCCTCGGTGGTGGGGAACGAGGGGCAGGGAAGAGTGACCGGAGAGGGAGAGCAGAAGGCCGGTGGGCTAGGACAATTCCCTAACATGCCTCCCCTTCCCTCTCGTATCTTCCCCATGAGCCCCTCCCCTCCTGTTTTTTTTTTTTCCCTGTGGAAGTCTGATGCCCCCATGGGTCCTGTGGCCACAGGTAGTGGTAAAGCTACCTCCTTGGCACCCACATGCCCCAGTAGCTGAGTAGCAGATAGGCAGAGGGAGGGGGCGGAATTGGTCACTGCTGTCTCAGCAGCTTTTCCCATGCCACACTCGGGAGGGGCAAGGCAGGGGAAACTAAACTATTTGAAGGAGCAACTGGTTTGGGGGCAGAGGAGACCCTGCTTTTTGGGGGCGGCCGGCCTGGGGTTCAGAGGATGTGGAGGGCTCCCAGTTCCGACAGGCCACATGCAGCTTTGTATCCCTCACCAGACTCCTCAGCCCTGGGCCTTTTCAGCCTCTCCTCATACAGAACCTTTTCCCCTGCCCATCTCTGGGCCCGGCCCTGCCTGCTCTCCCCTGCTTGAGTCCATCACAGCTGGCAGCTGGGGAGGGGAGGTGTCGGTCTTGCGCGTTCACGAGACCTCTCTGTGCACAGCTGACCTTGTCCCCTTGTGTCTGGTTTAGCATCACCAGGAGAAGAGCCCCTCGCCAGTGCCCGGCATTGCCCGTTCCGCCACGGCACTCGCTTACCACGAGCACTACGCCTCGCCCGGCCCCGTCAAGAGCAAAGCCCTGAAGACTGAGAAAGACGCGGCATTGCCCTCCTTCTCCTTGGGTGGTAAATACGTTTCCGCGGGAGCAGAAGTGTCGGTGGGAGATGGGGAGGGTGGCTGCAGGTTGCAAGGCAGTTGGCATGAGAGGGAAGAGCCAGGGGCAGTGTGCGCGTGGAAAGCCCCCGCTCACAGTAACGCAAAAGCTGACCCCACTGCGTGGGTTTGCCCCACGAGGTTCTGGTCAGGGTGGTGTCAAACGTGGGCTATCGGGACCCACGTGAAGAATTCTCCTGCTGAAGCAGCTGAGCACACCTCTAGGTTTCGCCCGTCACCTCCCACCTGTGTTAAGACAGCATGTCCCTCGTCAGGTTCCATAGAGGCCGTGAGCTAGACGAGCGCCAAGCTTTCTCCCTTCCAACCCCCGTCTTCCCATTCTGAAACCTTCCTGCTCCAATCTTTCAGGCTTGGACGGGGGGGCAGGCAAGGTGACTTAATGGATCAGACTAAGACGGTGGAAAAATCCCTCCAGCATCTCTCTTGGAATTATGGGAGAACAGGGAAAGAAATGCTTTTCCCACTTGAAAAAATTTCCAACCCTGTTCAGACTAGCTGAATGTGGACCTACGCCCGCCCGCCGCCATCCCAGGTCTGGACTGTGGCATAGCCCTGGTGGTGGTGAAGATCTAGTGTATCACCTTAGTTTTTGGGGTGGGGGTGGGGAAATCCATTTGGGTCGACGAAAATTCTGACTTCCAAAGTGCATCCTGCATGTGCTGTGTAGGAATCGTCCCTAGGCTAGAGACGCCCATGTGTAGGGCCGTTCTGGACCTGCCCTTCTTGGATCCAGCAGCTAACAAGCTCATTGCAAAGAATAGTTCTTTGCTGCAGAGCAAACGGAGCCTCAGAACTTAGTGCACGAGCTGGACATTGGCTTTTAAATGGCCTTGAGGCCTTGGTTCCTGCTGGCCTCCAAAGGTGGGAAGTGGAAGAGCTGGTTCTTTGCCCCCAGATGCCCTGTGGAGAGGCCTGGCTATGGCTCCCTCCCAACGCGGCTCACAAACCTTTCCGAGGCGTTCAGGCTGAGAGCCGGCATCAGGAAGCCATGCCGCAATGTCGTAGGTCTGCGCTGCGGCTGGCCTGTGCCAGCTGACTCGGGCTAAGGGGCTGTTTAACTGCAGTGTCGACCTTCCCACCTTGCAGGGTCCTAGATCCAGCCTGAGGCCAAACATCTCCACCGCACTGAAACAGCCCCATAGCCCGAGCCCCCCATGCCTGAGTTGGCTGGCACGGGCCAGCCGCGGGTTTTGAATGGCAAGGTAGACAAACCTAGATGCTTCCAATAAAAACCCAACACCCAGGTTCAGCTTGAAAAGGAATCCAAACGCTGAGAAGCTTGGAAGTGGCACCCAGCAATGGCCGTGTTGAAATACAGAACTCGGAGACCACCACGACAGCTGAAATACCCCACTGTGCCGAACGCGCTCCTGTTCTGATGGCCTCCGCCTGGTATTGGCAAGAGCTTTGCTATGCCCTGGGCAATGCTACTCTTGACTGCAGCTCAGCCTCGCTCAGATGGCCACGCTCGCGGCGTAATTCTGGATCTCTCCAGCAGGCTACAATGACCTGGCTGTGTCGGGCAGCCAGATGCACCCAACAGGAAGTGGAGGCAGCGGGGCTCAAGCTCAGGACCTGCGGCTCCCGAAGCGCAGACCCCTCCCAGGTGAGCTCAGGGAGTAGCAGTGCATGGGGGGCCGGGCCGGGGGTGGGGTAGAACTGCGATCCCAGCAGGTCCACTCTCTTCCAGCAGAGGGCACCGCTCCAGGTATATTCAGGGGCACAACTGTTCATCTGTTTTCTTTAGGGAGACTAATTCAAACTTGTCCCTTAAATGTTAACCTGGGATTCTTACTAGAGAAGGGGGAGGAGTTTGGGTTCAGGCCAGATTCCTTTGCTGTATTCCTGGGCTAATCAGCTAAACTCTTCCTGTTCGCCCTGAGAACTGTCCCGGCGAGAAGACCCAGAGGGGCGGCGCCGGAGGAGGTGGCAAGGGAAACCTGTGGCTACCTGGAGCAGGGGAGAGAGACCAGGCAGTGGCAGGAGAGAGGCAGAAGTGGGAAGAAGAGGGGAAGGGACGTGATGGAATATTTCTAAGGGAGAACTGAAGCTTTGGACCCTTCGTCTCTGGTCCAAGCAGAGCCCAGGCCGACAGGGACTGGAAACTGTTGCCATCTGACCACTCAGCAGCCTGTATGCAGGGGCGGCTCCAGGCACCAGCGCACCAAGCACGTGCCTGGGGCGGCAAGCCGCACGGGGGCGGCCTGCCGGTCCCTGCGAGGGCGGCAGTCAGGCTGCCTTCGGCGGCGCGCCTGCGGGAGATCCGCTGGTCCCGTGGTTTCGGCGGCAATTCGGCGGCGGGTATGCCAAAGGCGCGAGACCGGCGGACCTCCCGCAGGCATGCCACTGAAGGCTGCCTCACTGCCGTGCTTGGGGCGGCAAAATACATAGAGCTGTCCCTGCCTGTATGACATGAGTTCGGTGGGTCTCATCAGGGACACAAATCACCATCGCGCTCCGTGTGAATTGGCCCCGTTGGTTGCTCATCTCAGCAGAGAGCCGCAGCCTGAATGAGCCATTGGGGATCCCACCAGGTCAGGGGTGAGGTATGCTGTGGGGGGAGCAAACGGCCACTGCCACCATCTGCACCCCTTTCCTGGGTGAACCCGCTATGTTTCACATCTGCAGGGTCTCTGGCCCAGAGGCAGCCTGCTATGTTCTCACGGGTGGGTGACGTGCGTCCTGCCCAAGCCAGCTAATTCTGATGCCAGCAGGGAAGGACCAGCGAGGCCGTGCACTCGTTCTGGGGAGGAGGGAGGACATGAAGGCAGGGAAGCTGTTGGGGCTTGGGAGAGAAATGACTCCGGTGGCTCTCTCCTTCCAGGGAAGCACTACCCGTGCTCCAGCTACGGCTGCAAGCTGGCCTTCCACAGCATGCAGGAGCTGATGGATCACATGAGAGTCCACTACAGACCCACCCAGTCCCTGGAGGGTAAGGCCTGGCTTGCATATCGTCCCAGCGGGGTGCTAGGAGAAGGGGGGCCTTGCTGCCGAGAGGTGGGGTGTCAGGACACCACATGCTAGGGTAGGCTGGATGCCCGAGATGAGGAGGCCTCGTTATCCCTTCCCAGTGCTTCCTCTGGGGCATCAACCTGGCTGTTCTACAGCATCGGTTTGCTGTTGATGGCTGAGCAGCTCGTGAAGAGACTCCAGCCTGTGGGTTGCGTGTGAGCATTTGTTGGAGCGGTGATTGTCCACTGAAGTCACATGGTATTGCTACCCACTGATTGGGTAGGGAGAGTGCAAACTCGTCGAGTGACAACGGCCGGGGTTACGGGGGCTTGACAACGGCCGGGGTTACGGGGGCTTGACAACGGCCGGGGTTACGGGCCTTGACAACGGCCGGGGTTACGGGCCTTGACAACGGCCGGGGTTACGGGGGCTTGGCCCCGGCACACGTGCTGGACTCTCCCAGGAGCTCAGTGCTCAGTTGCTCCGACAAGGAACAACGGGAGACGCTGGGTACTCTGGCCGTAACTTTTTATAGCAGTACGTGGGAATGGGAGCTCGTAGCTATAAAACCCCGACCCCAGACAGTGTGAACCGGCACTCGCCCAGCCAAGTGTTCGCAAACAGCAGCTCCCTGATCCCAAACGCTCAGCCCACTGGCTCTGATTGCACAAACGCTCACCAATGGGCTCCTGCCGCTTGGGAGCTAGATCCAATCTGCCCCTTGGCTGTCCGAGGAGAAGCTAATTCACTAACTTCCCCACCCCCAGGTTCTCTTCCGAAGCCCCTCCCCCAACCCCTCCTCTTATTAGCCACTTGCTGCCGAGCCGCCGCGCTGGTAAACTGTCCAATTAATCTGGGGGGGGGGGTTGTTTTTTGTTTGGGGTTTTTTTTTGGGGGGGGGGTTGAAATTTCCCTTGCTGTGATAACAAGGTCCCCTGCCCTCCCTGGCAAATACAGTAACTCCTCGCTGAACGTTGTAGCTCTGTTCCTGAAACATGCAACTTTAAGTGAAACTATGTTAAGCGAATCCAATTTCCGCATAAGAATTAATGTAAATAGGGGGAGTTAGGTTCCAGGGAAAAAATTTTATCAAACAAAAGACTATATTATAGAGTGTGTGTGTGTGTGTGTGTGTGTGTACGCACACAGTATAAGTTTTAAAGAGTTTTAATAGTGTACACAGCAATGATGACTGTGAAGCTTGGTTGAGGTGGTGGAGTCAGAGGGTGGGATATTTCCCAGGGAATGCCTTGCTGCTAAATGATGAACTAGCACTTGGCTGAGCCCTCAAGGGTTAACACATTGTTGTTAATGTAGCCTCCCACTCTACAAGGCAGCACGAATGAAGGGAGGGGAGACAGCATGGCAGACAGAGACACACACCCCCCCTGTGTGAGAGACAGAGCGATGCGCATTGCCCCTTTAAGTACACTGACCGCACTCTAAGTACATTGCCTTTTTAAGTAGATCAGCAACCTCCCTCCGTCCTGAGCCCTGTCGTGTCCCCCCCCTGCTCTATGGAAGATGGGTTAAGCAGGGGGCAGGAGCAGGGGGGAGGGGGACACCCTGATATTAGCCTCCCTCTTCCCCCTCCTCCCCCTCCACACAGCAAGCAGGAAGCTCCCGGGAGCAGCTCCAAAGCAGAGGACAGGAACAGCACATGGCAGTGGGGGGAGGGCCAGCTGAACTGCCAGCAATTGCTAGCCTGCTGGGCAGCTGCTGCACAGGGAACTTAGGGGAGCGGGGAGCTGATAGGGGGGCTGCCAGCCCACCCTGGTTCCAAGCCCCCACCAGCTAGCTCCAACGGGCTGCTCTTCCTGCAAGCAGTGGACAAAGCAGGCGGCTGCCAAACGATGTTCTAAGGGAGCATTGGGCAACTTTAAACGAGCATGTTCTCTGATCAGCGACGTAACAACGTTAAGTGCGGAGTTCCTGTCGAGGTTCCGAGTGTGTTTACAGCGGTGAGCGGTGTGCGTGTCGAAGGGGCTGGGGTCCCTAACCATTGCGTAGCTGGTTCTAAAGAATCCCCTCGATGTAAACTGAGAACGTTGTGTCTAGGGTGGACCTGACTGTGGGTGTCTCACTGACCCCTCTGCCCTTCTTCTGCCAGGTAAAATATTCCACTGCCCCACCCAGGGCTGCACGGACACTTTCCCCAGCATGCAGGACCTGGTGGCTCACATGAAGGTGCACTACAAGCCAAACCGCTACTTCAAGTAAGTCCCTCTCTTTGGGTCACAGAAATAAGGCCCCTTCTTCTCCTCCCTCACCGACCCCTCTCACTGGTCCCAGCTCGTCCAGAGCCCCCAGATCTCCTAGGCAGGGCACTGCGCCCGCCAGGCTATTCACCAGGGCACTGGCGTCACTGTGCCAAGCAATGGGGCTCTCTCCTGGGCAACCGCTCCGTGCTGTCCCTCTGCTTGTGGCAGGGCCCTTGTGGGATCCAATGGGCCAGTTCTTCTCCCTCCTCGGCGTTGGCTTTGTCCTCTGGGCTCTAGAGTCCCGCAGCCCAACGGGACCCGCCTCCGAGGGTCGGGGTCTGGGCAGCCGCTGCCTGTTCCGCTCCTGCCGGCCGCGGCGTGACTGCCAAGGTGGCAGCGCCTCTGGCCGCACGACCTGGGCAGTGCAGCAGGGGGTGACAGCTGACCAGAGAGGGGCATGCGGCCGCACCACTGGCTCCAGTTTCGGAGGAAGGGTCGGGTCAAAAAATGGCTCAACCTTAGTGGGGTCTGGTGGGTTTGGGCCCAGACCTGTACTCCAGCCATGTGCCTGGGATGGCTTCTTTCTCCATGAGAGAGATTTCCTGGTCCGCTCGGCTGAGCCTGCAGGCCGGCGGCTTCCCCTCGGGCCGGGCCGTTGCAGACTCGCCCTCTCCTGTCGCTCCCCAGGTGTGAGAACTGCCTGCTGCGCTTCCGGACCCACCGCTCCCTCTTCAAGCACCTGCACGTCTGCTCCGACAGCGCCAGCAGCCCGGCTCCGGCGCCGAAAGCCGAGAGGCCCACCCCACCTGCTACCTCCGGTCTGGAGAAGGACCCCCCGGCCAAGCCGCTGGAGGGGCTGCCCAAACTCCAGAGCGTCATCCGGCACATGGAGAAAGAAGCCATCCTCCCCAGCATGGACGCTGTCTCCACCGCCGTGCCAGCCTCACTCCCGACTAGTCTCCACGGCTCCCTGGAGTCCATGCCCCTGGTCTCTCCGGCTTCCCACCCATTCCCTCTGCTGGAGCCCTCGCTCTTCGGGCCGTCGTCCTTAACCCGGTTCTCGGGCCAGCCTCACTCCTCGGTGCCGGGGCCTTTCCTGTCCTACATGCACCCCTCTCCCTACAGCCTACCTCAGGCTTCGGTTCAGCATCGCCTCAGGCCGTACTTGCCCAGCCAAGGCCTCCCCGTCTCCAACGCTGTGTGGAAGAAAAGTCAAGGTGAGAACACAGGGTCAGCAGGTAAATCTGTCGTCTTCAGCTGGGAATCCCCCAGGCTACAGCAAACCTCCTTCCAGGCTCGCCCCAGACCGCTGCTGCGAGAACCCACAGGCGGGCGGGGAGGCACTTCCGGCCGAGGACGCTACCCACCAGCTGCCCTGTCCTCCCCTTGCCACCCTGAGAACCAGAGAGATCCCACTTGCTCAAGCTCCCAGATTCCCTCTGTCCCGGGCTCCAGGGGTGGGTTCCAGTGGCCATTTCTCCGCCCCTCGTCCCAACATCTCGCCCCCCACAGACAAGCTGCTCCATGGGGAAACTTGAGAGCAAGGCCCACGTCTCTCTTAGAGGGCTCCCCGGACGTGGGGCGTGAGGCACAATCCCATTTGTCCTGCTCTGTTTGCCAAGGCCTGGGGGTGTATTGGGATGAATCTTCCCCTGGCTCCACCAGCCTCCACGGAGATACCACGCCAGCGGAGAATTCGCCTCTCGTTCTGTAACCGAGGCCGTGACGCCTCCCTGGCCTGTTCCTCCCTCGCTCCCTCCCACCAGCCTGTGGCCACCGTGCTCGGCTGGTGAGCCCCGCTCCCTTTCCCATCATGGCCGTCGTCGGCCTGCGCTGGGGACCCCTTTGGCGCAGGAGCTGGTGGGAGGAGGCGCCCCGGCGACAGGCTATTGTGACTGTTGCCCAGCTAACGCCCTGGCAAACCTGCGGATGGTGTGGGCACCGGGACGTGTTCCTGGCTCTCATTTGCTCCAGTGTGAAAGTCACTCCCTGTGCTTTTTAAAAAAAAAAAAAAAAAAAAGCCCTTCAGCTCCCCCCACTCCCCCACACCCAATCTCTGTCCCGCTTCCACCCCCTGGAACTGTCCGTGGAGTCCTGCGGGGGCAGCGCCTGGAGTGATGCCCCCTGGTCCTGTCAGCCTTGTTCTGAAAAGCCAGTGGCAGCTGCAGCTGGACACAGCTGGCATCCGAGCCAGAGCCTCTTGGTTGCGTCCCTTCCCCCCCAGCCAAGGGAGGGGAAGGCCTAATGCTTGTCTCGCCCCTCGATTCCCTTCGCAGGTGTGTGCGTCGGCCCACGCCTCCCATGCTTTGGCTCAGGTGTGACTTCAGGTTAGTCCGGCACCTCTCGGCTTTGGGCTGCTCTCTGGTCACTGGGTGGTGCTGCTGTGCGGTGAGGGGGTGACCTGCCCTGGGAACTGGGGAACCCAAGGAGGGGGGGCTTGAATTAGCCATGTCACACAGGACAGCAAGGGGCTCTTAGTCCTTGGAAGGCCCAAGGGCACCACCCAGGGGGCAAAACAACCACAATACCTGTGGTTGAGTGGCTTAGTCCAATAACCGTTCATTCCCTCTGAAGCACCTGGCATTGGCCACTGTTAGAAGACAGGCTACTGGGGGAGATGGCCCAGTGTTCTGACCCAGTCTGGCCGTTCTGGTGTTCCAACCTTCAGCCCTATGCCCTGATTGCCTGCAAGCTAAGCAGCATCAAGACTGCTCAGTCACTGGATGGAGACTTCCGAGCTCCTCGATAAGGGACATAATACAGAGGCCTGGTATTAAACTGTTGACGTATCTCTAGCTGAGAAGGGAGGGTGCTGCCTGCCCTGGGCGGGGGGAATTGATCTGGTGGTGAGAGGCAGTTGTCTGGGACTGACAGCTGCGGCGGTGTCTTGATGGACAAGACTTCTTGTTTAAACCCAACCCTGGGCGGGGACTGGCTTTGTTACCCTCAGCCCGACGCTGTGTGCCGTGCTGCTAGTGTGTGTCTGTGGGGTGCTGGCCCTGATATCTGGGGAGGGATAGTGGCCCTGCAGTTTCTGGGGGCTCGGACCATTTGCTCCCCTCCACTCTATAGAGCAGGGATGATCTCGGAGGCCTGGCAGCCCTTGGAAGCAGTGTCAGCCTGGCCTGTCCCTGTTGGACCCCATGCCAAACCTGGGAGGCGTGGGAAATCGGCTGTTCTACTGTGAAACCAGGGAGGCTTGGATTTCCCCAGCCGAGTCAAGCGTGTGGTAGCGAGGGCTTTGGGCAGGGGAATGACCTGCCCTTTGGGGCGTAAACTGGAACAGCCGCTGGCCCAGCCCCCTGTTCCTCTTCTGTGTTAGGGGCGTTACAGTAGCAGCGAGAGGCACCAGAGACTCAGGCCACCCTGCCGGGTGCTGCCCAGAAAGAGACAGTCCCTGCCCCACAGCGCGCACCGTCTCAAGAGACCAGACAGACCAAGGGCGGGAGGGGACCAGCTGGTCAGCGGCAGAACTGGGAATAGAACCCAGGCGTCCTGAATCGCAGTCCAATGTACCATGCTGCCTGCCTTGGCCTTGGGACCTCCCATTCCCACGGCCATCAGCTGCTGGGTGTGTTTCAGGGGTCGTGGCCCAGGTGCTGCCGTGGTGGTGCTGAACAGCTGCGCATGCCTCTCAGGGGGGGAAGGGGCTGGCCGTGCGATTGCTATCCCCGGGCACTAGCAAGTCAACGCACTCGCTTTCCGCCCCCTGTGTTGCAGGCCACTCCTCCAACAGCCGCATCGTGTGGGAGCACACGCGGGGGCGCTACACCTGCATGCAATGCCCGTTCTCCAGCGCCTCGCGGGAAGAGATGACGCTGCACATTGAGGATCAGCACAAGAATCCGCCCCTGCCCGGCCGGCTGGATGGAGAGATGGGTGCGCTGCAGTGGGGGGAGCTGGGGGACGGGAATCTGCCCTGCTTGCTGGTGAGAGGAGCTGATCGGGGGATCCTGAGCCCCGGAATTCAGCCCAGATTCCTTTGCATGACAAGTCTTCCTGTAGTGGGAGTGGGTCATAGCCCAGCTTCCCAAAGTCACACCCTTCCCCAGAGCCTGACAGCGCTGGAGTTTGCCTCTCCTGGCTGGAGAAGCAGGGAGCCTGGCTTGGGGAGGTTCGGGGGGGGGGAGGAAAACGTGTCTCTGACTGATCTAGGGAGGGGACGCTGCCCCAATGCACAGGGACCGGAGAGATGTGGACCCTGCTAAAGCTGCCCGAGAAATGGCCCCTGATGTTAACTGCTTCCCTACTTGTCTCGGAGCTGCACCAACTCCATCCTCCCCCTTGGCTGGGAAACCTGCCCCTTGCCCGGCTGTCCTGGCTGAAGTGCTCCTAGAGGGGACAGCTGCACCCACAAGCCCAGAACAACGGGCTGGTTCTACCAAACTGCAATGACCTTGGACTTATCATTAGGCTTCAGAGTCAGTCGAGGTGCCTGGAGCAGATAACGGCCTGGGCCTTTCTGCAAGCTCCCGAAGGCGGCTGTATTGGACCCGACCAGGTTTTCTTGGTCACAAGCTGGGCTAGAAGCTCGCCTTCTACACCAACACAATGGCCTCCGCTGAGCTGCAACCGCAGGGCGGAAAGCCAGAGCGCTGGCCCCACGCAAGCTAGGCGGCCATGCACCCAATGCCCCACTTCGCCACAGCCTCTCGAGCAGCCGCCCGGGAGTTGGCGGATTTCTTAGCGCTGATGGTTCTCCCTTGTGCTTCTCTTGCAGACTTCGGCGTCGGCCTCGCCGCCTTCCACTCAAAGCTCCCGCCGGAGATGGAGAACTCCCTGTACTCGCAGCTCTGATGCTCCCGCTGAGCCGGGGTGGGGAAGGAGGTGTGCATGGGAATGCCGTAGGAACGGGTGTACGTAAAAGCCAGTGCTGCAGCAGGAACCTACCCCCCCCCCTCTTCTTCCCATGCTGTGTTTGCACCCCTCCCCTCACCCCTAGCCATGCCACTGACTTCAAGCTGTGCACTGCAAAGAGTTGGGGCAGGGAGAGGCTTTTTCTTAGTTTTTTTTTTTTTTTTTTTTAACTTTAATTTAAGTCCTGGAAGCTTGTGTGTGTCTCCCCCCTGCTCCAGATCTTATTGCTTCAGGCACAAGGGTTCTCTGTAGAGCCTGGTAGAGTTGCTCAGGAGTTAGTGGACTTCTTCTCGGGGATGAGGTCGCTAAGAAATAAATGGGAATTGGACAGAAGGGTCTCCGTCTGCTCTGTGTCATGCTGCCTTGGGCAGGGCCTCTCCCTGGGCAGGGAGCAGGCGGCTGAGCGGCAGGGCTCTAAGCGCGGGCTGCAGCCGGGTAAAAGACTGGTGTAAGTTTCCCTCGGGGGATAGAGCGGGATGCAGGAACCCTGCATGGGGAGGGCTCTACGGGAGGGGGGCTGGTTAGACAGTAGCCTCAGGGCAGGATAATTGATTTTTAAGAGGGTAATGGCCAGCCCTGCCTCCCTCCGAGCGCTGTGCCAGGAGGATGGGGACAAGGCCAACCTCCAGGATTCTGCTTTTGGGGGAGCAGGAAGCTAACCGCATCAGTCTAGGCCTAGGGAGCTGGCCAGAGCAGGATCGCTGGGTTCTGCTGGCAGCGCCTGCAGGCTGGGACCTGCTGTGCAAACACCCAGCCCCTCTTTGCCCTTTCGCGCTGACGCTCGAAGAAAACCAGGCAGAGCGCGCTGAGTCTCACAGCAGGGGAGACAGAGGCAGAGAGCAGGTGGGTCCCGTTTTCAAAAGGGCTCCCCCGAGCTGTGCCGCATGCTGTGTGTGAAACAGGCCCTCTCAGTCTGCACCTTCCTGGGGTCTGAGCCTGGCTAGAAATCTGACCCTCAGGGACTTGCCCCAAGCTACGGCTGTCGCACCAGGGCGTAGACGTTTCCAGCAGCAACAGGTTTTGTTCTGCCGACTGGTTAATCCAGCTCTCGGGGACAGGAGAGCAAGGGCGCCAGAAGACTTCTGCTGAGCCAACTGTATCTGGCCGAGGGGGGAGGCGAACCTGGCTACGAGGTGCAGGGGTGGGATCGAGCAGGATCAAGTGTAACCCCAGGCCCGAGAGAAGGGGAAATTCCCTCCACTCCTGCAGCAACTGGGTCATGGCCTAAACGGTACCAAAGCGCTGCCTTTGCCTTGCAAGCGAGGGTCACTGACGGTAGCGGGAGCCAAACCTGTCAAGAGGCGCGAGGGGGTTTTTGCTCAGTAAAACCACTTCAGCCTGGCCAGGTTAAAATCTTCCCTCGTGGAGGGGGGGCTTGTGATCTCCTGGCAGCCTGGTTTAAGAAAACCTAAGCTGATACCCACCTACCTCTTCTCCCGCCAGCCAGGGGCTGTTTCAATCTCAGATGGAGGGGGGTAAAGAAGATAGAGAAACTACTTTTAAACACTGCCCTACACAACCTGCAGCTGTTTGGCCTCACCTGCTGATGAGTCGTATTGAAGTGGTGCCCACAGGCCCCAAGCGGGAGCAGGATGACCCCTCCTCCCCCCCATGCGAGGTGCGCTACATGCACCCCAGGAAGGGAGAGGGCTTGGTCCATGGATCTTACCATCGAGACCAGAAGGAGGCAGAAGAACAGTTCACTGCCTGGCAGTTACTCTCTGCCAGCCTTGTTTACCACCCACCCCCAGTGCTGCAGTAGGAGCGTGGAAGCAGCCCTGGGGCTAGGTTCACCATTCATAAGAATGGCCAGACTGGGTCAGACGAATGGCCCATCTAGCCCAGTGTCCTGTCTTTGGACAGTAGCCAATGCCAGGTGCCCCAGAGGGAATGAACAGAACAGGGAATCATCAAGTGATCCATCCCCTGTCACCCATTCCCAGCTTCTGGAAAACAGAGACTAGAGCCACCCTCCCTGCCCATCCTGGCTAATAGCCATTGATGGACCTATCTCTCTCTCTCTCTTCCCCCCTCTCTCCCCCATGGACTTAGCTAGTTCTTTTTTGAACCCTGGTAGTCTTGGCCTTCACAACATCCTCTGGCAGAGTTCCACTGGCTGTTTGTATGAAAAAAAAAACTTCCTTCT